TCTCACACAGCATCAGCTCAGGTGCTGGGCTGCTCCTGTCCTTAGGGTGTGTCCATCTCAACTTCACCTTTCAGCCTGGTGATTTTCTGTTTCACAGCAGTTGCTTGGATGGTCACTTGATTTTTAAAATATGGGCTACAAAAGATTGTTCACTTAACTTTCGGTAAGGCCCGAGCAGCCTCGGAGGTTAGATACTTAGCCCTGGGAGTGGAGACTGCCATTGCTCTGGGAGCCTTTCAGTTGATGCCTTTGGCAACCTGAAGATGTTGCTTGTTTTCTTGATTTTGTATGACTTTATCTGGCAGATGGACAAAGTGCTTTCATGATGAGAAACTTAGCTTCCTGTCAGCTTTTAGACTCCTCCCTGAGTCATGTTGGCATTGCTATAAAATAGATTAAATTAGAACAGCTCAAGATACAGTGGTTCTGTTTAATTGGCTAGAGGAGGTCTCAGGGCTGACCTGACAACAAGGTCTAAACTTGGCAGTTTTGTCAGTGAATAGGTGTGGTCCATAATCCCAGCTATGAGGGGAGTCTGTACCTACCCAAAGTGACAGTGTTGTGGTGTGTCCCGTGTTTTCCAGATTAAAATCCCATTACAAAGATCATGCCTGCTTTTCACAGAGAACGGAAGCCCCAGTTCACTTCTGGCCGGGCTCAGGATGACCCTGGAAAGATCTGTTTTGGAAGACAGGCCAGGGCAGCAGCCTGCCCTCAGAGGGCAGTAACCTAGAAGCAATTACTAAAGTTCTATTTCTCATGGTCCGTTTTAAACAGTTTATGCAGAAGCTCATGGTGTAGACTTAGTGTTAAATGCTTTCAAAGAAAATGTTTGTCTTTTTTCTTGAAGACACTTCCTCATGCCGTGAACCTGAGCATCACTTTGTTGGTGTTCCCTGTTCCACCACCGCATTGAGGTCACTGTCACCGTGTGTGTTCTATAAAGCTTCTCTGGGACCATAATGCAGTATTAGAGCATCTGTGGGAAATTGCTGTCCTCCGCTTTGGTAGAGGAATTGAGACCTACATCCCAGCTGTGTGTAGGTAGAGACTTTGTGTTTGAGTTGTTCCTTATTCCTTAATCAGTAATAAACTGACTCCTTCATCGGGATTATAGGAGATATAAATTACAGCAATCTGGTACGTGATCCAGCTCCTCCTTGGATGCCAGCAGGTGCTAATGATGGTAACTGATGTTGATTGAATGGCTTTCTAAATCCAGTAACTATTCCTGTGATATCAGATGTTTACCCCAAATCTGACAATAAGTCGAACTTGGGACTCTACTGGTTCATTATATCTCCATTTCCCTGCCACTTTTAATGGCTTGTGCCTCCCTTCAGTTGCTCTCAGAAAAGGGTCAGAGCATCACTGAGGTGAAACATATTCAAAAAAGCAACCATGTCTCATTGGGAACACATCATTCAGCGTATGCCCTGGAATCTAAATCTAATACCCACTGAGTACTTCCTGAGTCTCCTCTTAGGTTTTAATAATCTTTAAAACATTTCATTCATTAGCTTCTTTTTTTTTTTTGGCTGGGGCCGAGTTTGAACCTGCCACCTCCAGTATATGGGGCCAGCGCCCTACTCCTTGAGCCACAGGTGCTGTGCCCCATAGCTTCATTTTTAGAAGAGATTTAAATGTATAACTTTCTCATTCGGTGCTATGTCATTGCACAGTACACATCAGTGTTAATTCTTGACAGCTCTTGTGTACAGATTTTTAGAAACGGCACAGAAAGTGATTCTGCACATATGGTGCGTATCTTGCTGGTGTATGTTTAATGTGGCAACACTTGCCAAAGCTGTTTGGCAAAACATGTCAGATAGAACACGTGAGTCAGCTCTAATGTAAATGTGTCTAAACGGCAGTGTGTATCATTAGGGTGTATTTTTATAAACACAGTGATGGCTTCTTTCAGTCACGTAAGTGCTGGATAAAAATGATCACCTCACTTGGCGCCACAAGGGAAGCGTCACCCACTGATGGCCCCCTGCAAAGCTGCTCATCTTGTCAGCTGATGGCATTAGTCCTGTTTTTTTTTTTTAAAGGAGAATGAAGAATTGATATCAGACACCATGGAATACAAAAAAAATAACCTATCTATATTAACATTCTCAGAGTAACATGTATAACTTTAAGCTGTGTACACAGTAGAGACCACCTTGACCTCCACAGTGTATTCAAGTGCAGGTAACTTCTGTCATCTAATAATGT